GCTGCGCAGCACTTTACAGACGCATTAGGGAAAACTGCAAGTTCAAAATGTGTTCTGTGTCCACAAACAAATGTGTATGTTTTTATATGACGTGGTAAATATAAAAAAGGAAATTTTAAATACATGAAGAACTTTATTAGTGCACAGCTGCTGAGTGCAACGAAATATAGGCTTTATTTTATTACGTGCTGCTCTTATGTGCTGAAACACTTAACACTTTCCTTTACTTAAGGTATAATAAGCAACATCTTTAAATAAAGGGAATCACCTATTAAGTGTCTTAAAGCCTATAGGGAAAAGTTCATGTTTCAGTTCTCTCCGGAGCATTTGGGATGAATGTTGGACAGCGTCTGTCTAACTGAGGATGTTATAAAATACATTTTATATCGAGTTATTAACGGAGAATTTTATATATGTGGTTCTATATTATGGATGTGTGCGCTCCCGGCGCTGGGTCCCTCCATTAGTGGCAAGACCACTGGATTTCGGTGCAAACAGTCAGTCAGCAAGTAAATTAATATGATAAATGAGAACACACAGGTATGTGCGTATAGACATATATTGTACTGCTGTACAGTAACGTGTCATTTGATTGTTTTGGTTGTCCTAATTTTAATAGTTTCGTGATGATGTGGTGTGCTTTATCTGCCTGATTCCCGCTAGAGTGGGCGGATTGAGTGACAATCGATTCGGGGGATGTTCTGGGGGCGGGGTTTGCGTGACGCGCTGCAAGCTACTAGCCCGACAGTGGAAACGCGACATGATTTCGGCCTCACTGCTCAACTTCCCTGGTGATTGGCCCGGCCTGGCCCGATAAAAGCCCTGGCTCGCACTGGCCCGATAGTGGAAATGCGGCTAGTGGTACACATCAGAAAAAATTTGCATAAAACCTGCATAAAGTCTTTATATCGCTGACGGTCCAGTTGGGCTCTGAGGCCCCAGACTGCTGGTCCCTTGCTGCGGTTGAGAATGGAAAAATGAATTCCAGCCCAATCTCCAGCCCGTCCCATCACACCATCAAGAGCGTCAATCTCCCTTACTAAATGACCCTTCCCGACACCCCCGAGTGATGGGTTACACGAGAGTGCCCCTACAAGACAAAAAGAAAAAAAAATCATTATTCTGACCAACATCTTAATAAAATGCAACAAACCTGTGACTGACCAATAGTCTGGATTTTCTGTGTGATGAGAAGTGTCTTTGCTCCAATTCTGCTGGCAGCAGCCACTGCTTCAGAGCCCGCGTGACCACCGCCAACCACAATTACATCATAATGTTGAGTGTGTATATTAGAAGCTTCAATAGAGCAGGTGGAGAGAGTCTTTAGAAACTGCAATCTTCTTACCAACATGTGTGACAATTGTGGTACACTAACTTGGAGGGTAACAGAATTTTTTGAAATCTCTGAAAAAGAAGGTTAGACATAGACTTATAAGTTTACGAATCAAAAGAAGAAAAAAAAGAAAAAGCTGAAAAACAGGACAGTACTCAACCACAAATTTCACCTTAATTAGAATATGTAAGGCCAGAAGTTATCTAGGTATCTTCTAAATATAAAAGAAAGACATCTATCAGAATAGTAACTTTTTTATTTATGGACTCCTACAAATACAACAAAGACTTGGTTTTATAGAATAGAAAACCTTTACTCAATCATCTCTAATCTCAATCTGCATGATGCCCACAAATATGGCAAAAAAAACATTATTGGTTGGTTAACCTCTCAGTCATATAACACAGTGGGTTGTCCTTGACCATTCAAAGTGGCCAAAGCTCCCAGCCCTTCAGCCGTCAGTGTGAGGTCTGTCATGTAATACTGTTTTTAGCTTAGCTTAGCATAGCATAATTAATTGAATGGAATTTGACATTTAAATCAGGTTCTGAATAAACACAATGGCACATGATAAGACTGAATATTTTCCATACTAAAAGGGGTTTTTGTCCTTATCAACACCTGAAATTTATATTTTCGAAATAGCTTCTATTACTTGGAGCTGAACAACAGAACTATGACAATCATCAACTCAGGTACACCTCATATCTAACAATAATAGTTTGAATGCCATTTTAAATGATATTTAACGCCATACTACTTAAAGCACCAGCAGATAGTTTATCACAGATCTTGAAAATAAAATAAACATTAGAACTTGAAATTGAACTTTAGAACTATAACTCTGCAAACCAACACATCTTAGTGATTTAGCATGCACATTTAATAATGTTGAATGTTAAATTTGTATTAATTAGATCATAAACCTTACCATTTTGTGCATCTGTGCTTTTGAATGGCTGCATTTGATTTTCTGTCAAGTTGGGTCTGGTGCAAAAAGCCAAATTGCTTATTACTGCAAATCTTATCACGTAGCATTTTGTTAGGACACAGGGTTACAATGTAACCTGCTCATCTAATGTTTACGTTCATAATATTTATATTATTTGCTAATAGAGCTGCACAATTCTGGCTAAAATGAGAATTGCAATTTTTTGCTTAAAATAAAGATCACGATTTTCTCACGATTCTGTAGATGTAAAAAAATATGAGTCGCAATTATTGTTTTTTCTGAAAAATATGGTAAAACAACAATAAATAATAATACGTGGTCTACTGGTTTCTATAAATAATTTTATTAAACATAATAATTCTGATGTTGAATTATGTTTGAGATATGGGCCTATGCTTGCAACCTATCATTGACAACATTAATAGACCATTTAATTCACTGGTAAAATCAACATTATATGGGCTAGGGTAGTTATACTGACACTGTAAACATTTATTTTCATGCACAACTGTGTGTTCGCTATAAAAGAAAAAAAACGCGATATGATTATTTAATTGATGTGTATGTTTTCGGGTCTTTTTCACTGCTAAGTGCTGTTCATACTTCGCATGCGGCTCTCACTCTGTGCCACAAACTGAATATTATTTACAACTTTATTACCTGTTACTTACAGCCTATGCTGGTTCTGTTTACTAAAGTAGATGCATGCACGTTTATCATTAAGTAGGGTGCAGCTCACATCACGTGTGATTTCTCGGCCGCGAATACAGCATTATATGAAGACAAAAATAATATTTTTAATGACTTATACCTTTTAATACAGTATGTGACTCTTTCAACATCATTTGCAGGTGTCCATGTCGCTGAGCAATGTATGTGAAACAATGAGAAGACTCGTGCAGCTGCCTTTTCTTCTCTCCTAAACTTGAAATTATGATTGGCAGAATCGTAGAAATGCTGGATTAAGATCATCTAGGGGGTCGAATCGAGATTGCAGTCTTTTTCGATTAAGTGTGCAGCTCTACTAACTAATAACCACCTCATGTAGAACTCTGAATCTGCGTCTCATTTTGGAGTCTGCTACTGTACACTGGAGGTCGCATTTCGGTCAAGGATGCATGCTTTAATAAATATAAATAAGCAGTTTTTCACCAAGGCAACCTGGGGTGCTGAAAAATAATTGGCTAATGTGTCAGTAGGCAGGTTAAAAGTATCAAAACAAAGACAGCCGTTCTGACACGTAACGCACATTTTCAAAGCAGAATAATTGAATTTAGCATTGTTTTTTTTCAGATAAACAAGAATGTAGCATGTTTCTTAAATATCTGCAAACATATTATAGTATTTTTTATGCTGTGGAACACAGGCCTTAAACTCAGTTCCTAATGGGCCGCAGCTCTGCAGTTTTGCTTCAACCGTTAGAAGAATCAAAAACTTATATAAAGCACCCGTAAACAATACACTGAAAAATAAGCAGAATGCATAATGATCACTAAAAACTAAGCTGAGGCATTAATTTTATATAAACATTAAAAATAAAGTACTGCAAATATGTAAATATAAATAAATAAATAACTATAATATCCTAAAGGATACTTAAAGTCAACAACATGACCCTGCCAGAACAAGAAATAGGCTGAATGGATAAAAAAAAAAAATGGCTTTATGTCTATGCCATAAACCAATATCAAGCAGCGATCCCACTTTAAACCAACTGTAAAATTCCACAACTATACAAAAAAAAAAAAAAAATCCCTGACCCTGAAAAATTCGATAACATTTCAGAAACTCCATGACCCGTGGAACACTGACTAATGTATATTCTGCCCTCCTCTGATGTAACGTTATTTGTTTCTTTGTTTTTGTATTATTGTTATTAATGTTATTATTTATCCTGTAATCACTGTAAAAACAAAGGTAAACTGATAAACAGTACTGCAATGAACCACCTTTACAAGCATGTCTGTTAGTTTACGATTTAATTAGGGCAACACTAAAACGAAACTGTTTTGCAAACACTAGTACTCACTATATCCTTCTTGATTGAATGTGTTCAGTTTAAACAACTTTATTAGGTAGCGTTACAGTGAAATCCTATCGGTTCAAACACAGAAGAATGTAGCTGTAGCTGTAGCTGCTGCTTCTTCTTCTTCTTAGTTTTTTGGCGAATTGCATTTTTTGTGCATATCGCCACCTACTGATTCTGTCTTTGCTCTGCCCCAATCACACTTCTCCTTCTACAGATGCTTTATGGCGGCTGGCCACCTACCGGATTGGAGTGTGTAGTACTTCATAGTTCATAAGCTTTTTGAGCTTTTTTTTTTAACGGAGGAGGTATATATTTTTACTTAAATGTTGTGTAAAATGTAAAGTGACTATTTTGTAATAGAATGTTATTTTAAATAGTATTCAAGACTTTTTTTTTATTTTGCAAAAAGTAGTAGGCCTACTTCAATAAATCATGTGAAAATTACAGAATTTTTCCGTGGTAGTAGATAATATGATTTTAGAATATGGTGCTTTTAAAATTTAACAATTACAATTTACTCATATTTATTATTGAAAATTACTCAATCATAAAATAAAATATATAAATTATAATGAAAATGAAGGGGGGACACGGTGGCGCAGTGGGTAGCACGATCGCCTCACAGCAGGAAGGTTTGATCCCTGGTTGGGTCAGTTGGCATTTCTGTGTGGCGTTTGCTTGTTCTCCCTGGTTTGAAATATGAGTATTAGAAACCAAAAAGACAGTTCTTTGTGTTTTACTCGCATTTGTTGAGCGACTGTACTGTGTGCTGTAGAATTGCTGAATGTGTAAAGATGATTTATAGTATAAACTTTGTGTGTGTGTGTGTGTGTGTTTTGTTTCTTTTATGTTTTAACCTTCTAGATCAGGAGTCAAGTAATGCCACAGAAGAGCTTATTCAAAGGTAAGTATTATATATAAATTACGTACATTTAAAGACAAAATTATTCCGTCTTCTTTGAAATTTAATTTCTTTTTCAAATATATCCCAAGTGATGTTTAACATTGCAAAAAATGTCACAGTATTTCTAACAAATTTGTTTACTTTTCCTAATGAACCTAGTTAAACCTTTCAATTGCAATGGAAGTTGAATAATAGTGTCTTGCTAAATAACTAAGAATGTGTTTAAAAATTCTCCCCCTTAAACAGCACTTACATACATTTTTGCAGTGGCTGAATGAAGTTCACTGGAAAACTTAAAAGACTGAAAAACTTCACATGAAGTAGGTAAAAGTGGAATATAGCATAAAGACTTTCTTATTAGTATGCATAAATTATTTGTTTTGTTTTTTATTACTCCTACAGGTTTGGAGCAATATGTGGATCAGTGTTGACCAGTTTTTTTATATTTTCTACTTTAGATTGAGTTTGTTAATTAATTAATTCATTTATTTTTTTTTTATTGGATATGTGATTGTGATAAATTTTGGCAGTTGTTTTAAAAGTATGCTATATAACATGGGGGTCAAACTTAGTTCCTGGAGGACTGAGGCACAGCAGAGTTTAGTACCCACCCTGCTTCAATATTACCAGTAGATTTCTAACAAGCCTTAATTAGTTTGATCAGGTGTGTTTAAATAGAGTTACAGCTTAAAGTCCCAGTCACACTGCACTATTCTCCCTATAGACTTCCATTCATATGCATATGAATGCTGCAGACCTGGAATGCAAGCTTATGCGACAAGTTTTACATTTCGCAGCATTGGAAAGTTCAAGCTTGGGGAACTCTGACCTGCGAAATCAAATTATGTGATTGCTTTAGACCAATCAAAGATCAAAACATGACCTCTCTGGACAGAAATTTAAACTATGGACCACTCACTAGCTTTTTCAAGCTCTAATCATTTTGTTTAATCCCACTCCTTTTCGCAGTTTCGTACGACAGAATTTTGCATGCTCAAACGTTAGTGTGACCGCAGCCTTACTGTGCAGACCTGTGGCTCTCAGTAATATATAAGACTATATTTAAATGTTTGACACCTGTGCTATATACACTGCATGTATTGTTTATTAATTTAACCTTTGTATTTCATTGTAAATAGAAAATGTATTGATATCTGCTGATTTCTTAATTTTGTTTTGTTAATTTTCTGAATACCTTTTCTGTTGTATATTTGTTTGCTGCCAAAACAATAAAATACATTTGTCCAAAAGATTTTTTTGCTTTCTATTTTTTATAACAGTTAAGAATACTGATTAATTTTAGTAACACTACAATAGCTATATATGACATACTATTAATGTGTATGCAGTATAATGCTGTGAGTTGTAACACTACAGTACAGTAATTAACTGCAAGCAGTTTTCATTTAGTTACCATTATTGCTCTATTACAGTAATTAACTGGCAACACTGTTGCCAACGACTCACTGTAATGGTTTGCGTTACAGTAAATAACTGGCAACACTGTTGCCAGCTACTCACTGTAATGGTTTAGTTACAGTAATTAACTGGCAACACTGTTGCCAACTACTAGAAGGTTTTTACATGAGGTATGAATGTACATCCTGTATCAAAATCAAGCATTGTTTTTATACTTATTTCAAACGGGGACTTTTTAGCACTTCAAAGTGTGTTATGACTTTACATATGCTGCAGTAAAACAGGATTCATTTGAGTTATGCACATATATGGGACATCTTGTATCAGACCTGATCATTATCCATTATTTTATTCTACTTACATGAGGTCTTTACAGTCATCTAAAGTCTAATAATGCCCCATCCATATACTCCCATATACTGTATGGGTCGTCATATAACGAAGTATAAATATACTTGTAACGTTAACTCAAACAACGTTTTGTTGGACTACTTCATGACTGTATTCACTTTCTGAGGTTAGCAACGTTGTTTAAAATTGCATACAACCGTATTTGCAATGTACTGTAGTTGGCTAGGAAAAATAAAAAAAACAATCTAGGTATTAAGAAGTATCCTTATCCTGACCGTTTGGTCTGCTATAAAATCATTTGAAGCAAAAAGATACACTTAGAGAAATTTAAAAAAAACATTGGTTAAACTAACAACAACTGTCAAAAGGAGCTAATAAATCGTTTAATAAAAGCATACGTAACAGGCAAAAGAGCGAATCGAGTGCTCTGGGGGGGGGGGGGGGGGTGGGGGGCACTTTGTGTTGCTGATGAAATTACCGTAATCATAATAATACTTGCGCACCAATATATATATCGTGCTGGCTTGACTGTGTTTCCGCTGGTTTGACTGCAGTCATTTACTGCGTGTTGTACGTTTTTGCTTTTCTCTGATTCTCAATCTGCAAGCTTAGCCAAGTCACCGTTTGTAAATGTATTCCATCGTGTGCATGTAAAATCCTTCGTTTCTTCTCTCTTTTTGGATGTAACATCCGGGTTGAAATTGTTTATAAACACTTTCACTGGTTTTTGGTGGAGGTCTGACCGTAATTTCATCCTTTTCGCTACTCCATAGTGACGACAAGGGCGCTGCCATCTTGGACCATGTTTACATGTCGTTTAGACGCAAAACATCTCATTGGTCTGGGGGAAAGCACGTGATGCAAAACCGCATCTCTCGCCATCAAAAAAGATTACGCGAGGATAGGACTATTGCCTACTTTAAACAGTTGTAAAATAACTGCTGGAATATACACGGAGGTTTTTTTTATTCTATTTCAGTTGGTCCTTTTATTAGTATTAAAAGAATGTAGTGCCCTATTTATGGGAATGAAATGAAACGAAAAGGTGCTTCACCTCACTACGGCCTACAGCTGAGCATATGTCTGCTATTATTTGTTTTCGCTAGAGGCGGAGCATCGGAACATACAAATTTACTGACAAGGGTGCGGAAGTTACAGACCTAACACATTAAAGCCACATTATACTCTTCGTTTTTTATTATTTGGAATAATTAGCGCTGATGGAGTGTCAGAGTAAAGAGGAACCCGTGCTGCACATTGTAGTGGTAGGATTTCACCACAAAAAAGGGTGTCAGGTAAGAGCCCTCATATTTGTGTATAATAATCTGTTTTAAATGCTCCTTCTTCAAGACTGTTACGCTAACAGAGAGTATATGTGTTTTTTATATAGATTTTTATGGCCACTGTACATTTGTATTCACTGTACAAATACGACAAATACAACATGCAAGTTTAGATCTGCTAAATGGTGCTCGATTTCACAGAATGGCTAATGGTCATGAATTATCAATATCGTCTGTAATTCAGTAACGTTATTAGTTACGTTAAGTGTTAGATCCAGCAAGCTACTCCCCTTCTAACTTGCTCTCCTCCTGACAGAAAGTTCAGATGTGTATTGTTCTTAAAAGAAAACTTTTAACGTTTAGTCTTGTACCAAACGTTACCAACCATTTTATTATTTTCTTTTTATACTGCTTTATTTGAAAATTACGTAGGCAAAATAACAACAGTAGGAAGTAAGGTACAACAAAAACTTAGAAAGAACACATCCAGCCCTTACAAGAAGTTATTTTATTGTTTATAAAGAATCCTCTCTCACTGTGCTGCCATATTGGTGTCACATGACCACCAACATAGGGCTTGGCAACCAACGTCACTGCTCAGTGCATTCTGGGACATAAACACAAAATGAGTTTAAAGGAAGGGCCACAACTATGAAGCTATGCTTAATCTCCCTGATCCCTATAAGGATCCTTTAGAGATTGATAATTGGAGATGTATTACTCTCTTGAATTACAAATTAATTGTATTGGTATATGCTAAACCATTAAAATCCCTACTAGACCAAATTATATATTAATCTCAAACAGACTTTATGAAAAACAGGATCTGGATCAGGGTAGTTCAGTTTTTAGTGTTTAAGTTCAGTTCAGTTAAACTCAGTTCAGTGTGGTTTGCAATCATTACTGAGAGTCCAAACACTGAAGAGCAAATTCATCAAAAAAAAACTTCACCAATAGGAGAGTGAAGAAACAAAACCTTGAGAGAACCAGACTTAGTTTGGCACGACCATTTTAATTTCTCCGCTGGCCAAAAGTCTTGTGCAGAGCTGCAGTCTCAGCAGTGGGCTGAAAGCTGGCCTCAGCAAAGACTCATCTGTCCCTGGAGCATCACTGTAATCAGCCTCATGCTCTCCACTCCCCTATGACCAACAGCGCAGCAGCTCAGGATTCGGCCTGGTCCTGGATATGGACACCTTGGCATCATCTCATCGCTGGTCTTGTGTACAATCAGTGACTCCGCATTATCTGAGGACCTCGGGATGAGTATCCCCAGGTGGAAATGGAGAATAAAGAGAATAATTAGCGTAGCTGCTGTTCATAGTGTATATAAACAAGATGTAGAAACTTGTGTGGAAACCCGCTAAGTGATGCATTGTGTATGCTTTACTAAACAGATAGGTCTTTAATCTAGTTTTGAATTGAGAGAGTGTGTCAGAGCCTCTGACATTATCAGGGAGGCTATTCCAGAGTTTAGGAGCCATAAAGGAGAAGGCTCTACCTCCTTTACTCGACTTTGCTATTCTAGGTATTACCAGAAGCCTAAAGTTTTGAGATCTTAAAGAGCGAGCTGGATTGTAGCGAGACAGAAGGTTGGGGTGATATGATCATATTTTCTAGACCTGGTAAGAACTCTGGCTGCTGCATTTTGTACTAATTGAAGTTTGTTAATAGAGGATGCTGGGCAGCCAGCAAATAGAGCAATACAGTAATCCAGCCTAGAAGTCATAAAATATTGTATATTGTTTTTAGACTTCTGTAAAGCCTTCGATACAATTGAACATGTGTTCCTTGTTTATTCACTAAAAGTATTTGGATTTGAAAACAATTTATATTATTAAAATGTTTTATAAAAATAATAGTTCTATCATTTTAAATAAAGTGACCTCTAAAAGATTTGAAATTCGTTGTGGTGTGCACTAAGGCTGTCCTTTTTTGTTTTTATTAGTTACTTTTATTCAAATTTGAAATAATCAAAATATTAGGGGTTAAACTAATTGACAGAGAAATCAAACTTTCACAACTGACAGATGATACTGCACTGTTTCTGAAAGATAAAAATCAAGTTAAAACAGCCCTAGAATGTATTACCAAATTCACTTAAACTTCTGGTCTAAAGCTAAATCTTCACAAATGTGAAATCTTCATTCATTCATTTTTCTTGTCAGCTTAGTCCCTTTATTAATCCGGGGTCGCCACAGCGGAATGAACCGCCAACTTATCCAGCACGTATTTACGAAGGGTATGCTTTTCTAGCTGCAACCCATCTCTGCGAAACATACACACACTCATTCACACACACACTTATACTCTACGGACAATTTAGCCTACCCAATTCACCTGTACTCACTCTTTGAACTGTGGGGGAAGCCGGAGTACCCAGAGGAAACCCACGCAAACGCAGGGAGAACATGCAAACTCCACACAGAAAGGCCAACTGAGCCGAGGCTCAAACCAGTGACCCAGCGACCTTCTTGCTGTGAGG